AAAATTTAATGATTTGAATAACTGAGTATATCCAAACCATTGAATTTTTCTAGAATTGATGACTAAGATGTGAAGTAAGTTTAAAAAACATACTCTTTGAGTAAGTTTAAAAAACTTACCATTTGAGTAAATGGATCCCCTCCCAAAAAGTAATATCAATGAGTGGTAGATGATGTAGTTGTACTGACTATGTATAAATCTTTACACTTATAATACATAAATATTACACTTTTACACTTTTTACAATCCCAAGATAAAATTGTAACTCTAACTAAAAAGGACAGCCTAATATATAATGTTCTCATGTGATGAGGCTCCAGAATGATAGATGTACAAAATAGGAAGAAACTCTACCCTGAATTTGAACTAAATTAAAGAGAACCTTGGGAATTGAATCATATGATGAGTTATCACTTCTCCAGTTGTTTACTTACACTCAGAAACTAAACTAATCCCCAAACAGGAGATATACAATTCGGCCTTCATCAAACTACAAGCAATATTAAATAATGTGTACTATTTTATATATAACTATAGGTGATAAATTATGAGTTACATTTTCAGAAAGTACAGAACAGATCAAATTTGCAGCATGATTACTCTGACTACAATGATATCTTGGATTAATCACAGAACAAAATCAGCCTAACTATTAGAAAGCAGGTACAAACCATTCTATAAAAAATATTCTGAAAAGACTACAAAAAATATTTCATCCGGTCATCTCTTCTCATGGCATTATATACAGCTTGGACCTGAAAAATGCAATAAAATCATTTGCATGGTGACACTTTCTTCTATATGAAAAATGTAATCTAATGTTTTTCATGAATAAAACCATATTTAGAAGAAAAATAAGCTAGAAAAGTTTAATTTAGAGAGAGGGGAACAAAAGAGAAATACCTGTTCACTGGAAACAACTTGGACAGGCCCAATATTTACAGATACATACTTCCCTCTTGATGATAACTTCTGCTTCACACGTCCCTGTAACAAATATGTTACAATTATTGACACATGAACTTCAACCATCAAATAAAAGTGTAAATGTTATCTTTTGATGTGTGCTAAATCATGCAATATTCCTGATTCTACACTCTTCATGTTGCAAACTCTTGAAGGCAATAATAGCAGGCAAGATGAGATTATTGTACTTGGAAAAACAAATTAGAGCCTCTTTTCACCAAGACTCTTCAAACTCTACAACATCAACATTTCTCCATTAAGATTCAACTTCAGACTCTTAAAAGACTTTTCACCCCATTGTTAAGACTCAAAGTACCACCCAAGTACTGTGACACAAGGGCAGTGGCTAAGTAAATTTTGGAGGGTCTGCGAGTACACGGGCGGAGGCTTGAGAAGGGTCTCGGAAATGAATGACTCAGGTTAAGACTCTCAACCACTTTGCATTTAAACTCCGATAAAAAATCGAGATCCACTTTGAGGATGGGAATCATGTTGCCCTTTTAAAGCTCACCATAAACTTTGGGTGAACAATGTCGAGTTGGTAAAAACTCAGTCCATTTTGGAAGACCTTACTTATGATGAACTACTTCACTAGTATTCATAGTTTAAGGAGGAAACTCAGTCCATTCTACTACCCTCTCCCCCTTCCTCTCTGCCGTCGTGTGTAGTAGAGAGAGGAGATAAATAGTATCCAGGATTTAGACATTTCAGGAGTATACACAGATGGTATTTATTTATTTTGAGGCAAACCTATAAAACATGAGCATAAGTAAGAACTCTCCGAAAATAATGTATATAGTTTCAACCTTTAGTGCACCTTCCAAAGAAATTTTAATTTTATGGACCATACTCACAGCTCCTATTGGCAAACTATGAGCATGTACTGAAAAGTCTTGTCTTTTCAAAGTGTAAAGCCTTTAAATCAAAGTCTTTGTTTAAGCAGGGTCATGATTTGTCACTTTGTCATTTTTCAGTGCTCATTATATAATTCATGCTTCTTACCTCAAATGATGAAATGTAAACATAAGTTAGCAGATTAATATAATTGGTATTTTAGTATTGTTATAACTGTTGGTGATGAGTTACTTTATGTTTAGAACATCAAAAGTTGCAGCACACGCTGGACTTCTAAAGTTATTCGTTAACAATAACATATTGCTTAGATTAGTTACTTATAATGTAGGAATGAGTGTATAATATTGTGTTCATACAGAGATAATTATGAAACAATTTGAAAGAAACGAAACCATCACAATCATTGCAAATAAGGGAGTTCACATTGCTTATATTCAGTCAATCAGTGATATTCATGATGGGGTTTAAATTATTTTGCAAACACGGGGCCACACTTAGTAAAAACTATAGGAATACACAAAGGTCAACCTTGAGTCTTTAGCTTTTTACCTTAGTTAAGAACATCATTACTTAACATATTCAGAACCAGTGCCTCAAAGCATAACATACTTTTCGCAAATGATATAGTTACAAAGGGAGTTGAGAAAGAATAAATGGTAAACTAGAGTTAAGAAGAACTGTTTTGGAATCATGTGGTTTTCATTTAACGGAAGTAATATGGAAAGCAAGCTCAGCAAGACATTGACTATGTTTAGTGTGGAGGTGAAAGTTAGACATCATACCATACCATTATTCCCACACTTTAGGTATATTGGGTCTATTATATAAACTATTGGAGAAATAAAGGGATATATAAATATAGGATCCAAGTTTGGTGGACGAAATGGGGGAATGGTTCAGGCACTATTTATGAATGAAAGACGCCTCTTAAGCCAAAAGAAAAATTATAGCACACAACCATAAGACCAACGATGATATATGAGAATGTTAGGTGATAGAGTCCCAACAAGATCATAAGTTGTGTTGTAGATATGAGAATGTTGTGTTGGATCAGTGGTGATCCTTGGAAAAATAAAATCAGGAATGGATGTAATAGAGATAAAGTAGGAGTAGCATCTATTGAGGGATAGATGATAGAATTACACTTAAGATGGTTTGGACATGTGAGAAGAAGACTAATACAGGCTTTAATTAAAAAAGTATACCAGATAGAAGATAATGTGGTAATTAGAGGTAGAGAAAGACCAATATAACCTCTAAGTTGAAACATTAACAAGGACTTATTGGTTACGTTAACCAATATAACCAATACATAATTTTTAAGAAGAAGCCAAGTTACATACACAAGTTAGATTGAAGCAAAACTAGACACAAAATAACCTTGTAGTAATAATAAGGAATAAATAAACTGATAAGATATACTAGATAAGCATAAATTACAGTTCAATTTACAATTACAATTAGCACATGCCATATTCATATTTTTACTATTGTTGAAAGCAAAGTCCAAAAGAAAGCTTATTATAAATACAACAAATACACACTTTGTCTGAACCTTAACATAAACCAGCACAGTATCAGTCAGCAAAATTTTCCAACAAATAAGTCCAAATTCGAATTTCCAGATATACCTGAGGAATTGGCTGCTGGATTACAGATTCGACAGCAACAACCATGGCTTGCACAAAGTCCTCCCCACCAGTTCCTATTGCAGTAAATCCTCGTACCGTTGGGTATGAGTTGACCTACACAGCACGTTATAACAACGCACAGATAATATTAACTACATTTTCCCTTTTTCCAGTGCAGAACTTCGTGAAAAAAAAAAAATAGTATAGTGCATAAACGAACATGATGGCGAACCGCAAAACGCAAACAAAACAAAAGAAATCTATAAAAGGAAAGCAATGAAATGAATATACCTTCTGGTCCAAAGAGAGCCATTCATTTGTAGAATCATCTGCCACGGTACCACCAATAACCATGTTTGTAGTTTGGCCAACCCTCCCTTCGGTCTTTGACACCTCTGTAAGCAATTAACGCGATTTTTATTTTATTTTAAGCACAGAAGTCACTTTATATACCCCAACTAATCCAAGTCGAGTTAGAAAGAACTCAATCATTGTGTGTTCGGGTCTTCGGGATAGACAAATTAATTGGGATTTCATCTTTCTTTATAGCTAAAAACCTGTTTTTAGAATAAGCTGGTCGTTTGTATGGAAAATAACCGATTTAGAGAAGCTGAAACTCTTGAGCTTATTTCAAAAAGCAGTTAGATTATTACAGAATCAATCACATTTCTATCATTTCACCCATCTATACCTAACTACCAAATAAATATTATTAATCTATACCAACAACTTCATTCCTTTCTTTTGTTGCATTTTCCTATATAAAAGTGATTGACAATCCAAACAAAACAAAATAGATTGACTAAAAATCACTTTTCATCAAAATATCCCAACATAAAACTGATTCATTATAATCCCAACTAACAACCAAGTCTTATTCCCACTAACTAAGTGTCGGGTCAATTAATTGTTTATTATAAGAAAGTTTTATGTTAGTGACAAGTGTCCTATTTCGTTTTAATAATAAGAATTATAGTGAATCTAATGGTTTATATCTAATCATTATTTTAAACCATTGTATTTCTCGAGAATTGATGAGTATGATGTGTAATAAGTTTTTTACTCGACTCTTGGAGTAAGTGGATCATCTATTATAATAATGATTATAATTGTTACATGAAAATAAAAAATAGTTGAGGAGGAAATACCAGAAATGGCCTTCAAGACAGCTTGTTGAGGAGGACCTTGATCATCATGAAACGACGCCGTTTCATCATTATTATTGTAAGCACAAAGGAGAGGTCCTTTGTAATAATGAAAATGGCGAACCCTAATGGTTTTGGAACGTAAAGCTCTTGTGACTCTGTAATTGGAATTATTTATTAAATTAAAATGAAAAGGAAGAAGAAGAGGTTGTTGGAATTGGAAGGTTTGAATGATAATCGATGAATGAAGGATGTTCATTTTTGTGTCAGTGTTTGAACAAAATGAAACATGCCTCTCAAACAGATAGATTTTTTGATAAGGATTAAACTGAATGGTCATTAATACCCTCCTCCCTCACTATAAATAATACTCAACAGAAAAAAAGACATTAAGAAAAACAATTTTGTTGAGAGTGGGATTTGAACCCACGCCCTTTCGGACCAGAACCTTAATCTGGCGCCTTAGACCAACTCGGCCATCTCAACTTCGACAAATATTTAATAGCTTTCATTTACCTTCATGAAAAAGACATTAAACTAAAAAATAAAAAAAAGGTATACTAGCATAATATTAACAATAAACTCTCGTAGATTAATAAAAGGTTGTTGTGTTATTTTAAGTAAATATAAGCAATGTTATTAAAACCGTACCGGTTATCAAACCGGTTAGGGTACTGGTATAGTGGTACAGTGGTTCAACTAGTGGTTCAGAAATTAAACCGCATGCCGGTTAAACCGGACATACTTGCTTATATATATATATATATATAAATCTATAACAAAAAATTTCAAATAAGTAGATATTCATATTTATAATTCATATTCATAATTTACTTCAAATTCACACAAACAAACAACATTAAGTCTTTAATAAAATCAAAGTCTAAAGTACAAAACATATATTTATCCAAAATTATCACTTAACAAACGCAAAATACAAATAAATGACCCAAGTATCAATCATTGAAGTTGAAGAATTGGCGAAGAATTGAAAATTTGAAATTTAAAAAAAAAAAAATAATAATGTACAAACCAACCGGTTTACCGGTTTTCACCGGTTCTATTGCATATGCAGTATAACATACGTACCGTCCTGGTTAAGGGTCCGGTTCACCGGTTTATCCGGTTGAACCGGCCGGTACGGCACGGTTTTTAAAACTATGCATATAAACATGATAACGTTTGTTACACTATGTCATCACTCATTAGATTGTGTGAGAAGGGTTGTTAAAAACTTAAAACTATAAAGAAATGTGATTTCATTGACGGATAAGTCTTTGCATTATCATAATATTTGTTTGCATAAAATGTGATTTCATATATTGTTATTGTATAATTTATATTTTATTATTATAAAATCTATAATTAAAATTCATATTAATGGTGAATAATGTAGTGATTATGTATAAATTTTTATATTGACAATACATAAATATTACACTCTTAATAAAAATGTTAAAAGATCGAAAGATGTTAGTAGCTTCTGATGGAGAATATGTAGTGGCACTAGCTAAACTAAGTAATATTAGCGTGTAGAAATCTCTTTTTTCCTCTTTCTGACGGAGCCATTTTTATTTATCATTACCATGTTTGTTTGTGCTATTATTATTTCTTGGGTGGAATTTGTTTATGCTACTTAAGGATTTTGGACAAACAACAATTCTTAATTGATGAAGGAAATGTCCCAAAACCCTATCCTTAGTTTTGGCATTTTGTTGAATCTTGAATCATCCAAATATTTGCTAAGTAATGGAAAAATATGGGTGACTCACGATTTCCATTCAAAGGTATTAATCTACTTACCTCTATATCTAATTTTATTCGATTTCAGGATGTATGTATTTTTTAATCATATAATATAATAGATTGTGCAACATTTGTTATTTCTTCAAATCAAAGGAATACTATTGTTCAACATTAATATGTTCCTAATTAAAAAAAAGGAGACTTCCAAATCCTCATGAGGATAAAGTTAAATAACAACCTTCAATCATCTGAGTGAAGAGATTGATCATAATTTGACTTTGATTGCCTCATTTTAGTTATAAACTGTTCTATTTATGTAATTATTTTTAAAAGTACATTATTGAAGTAATTATTTCACTTATTCATGCATATGTGTTTTGTTAATCTTATATATGACTTGTGTATGACATCAGCACTCTTATCTGCATATGTTAGAAATCATATCTTAAGTATTTTAACTTTTACATTTTTATATTAGTCTGGACACTCTAATTTTATTCCAAAACCTGTTAAACACTTATCTGATTTTATTTCTTATATATATATTATATATTTTGTTAACAGAATTTTAAAAAGTGAAACAGGGGGAACTAAAAGGGACACGCAAGAGATGAATTTTGATCATTCCATATATGTGGAATTATTTAATTTGTTAACTTATCGCTTTATAAACTTGAATTAGAGATTATTTTTTTACCATGTAATATTATTGGCAGTGTAAATATTTATTAATTCACTCTTAGAATAATGAATGAGAAATAAGATAATGAGTTGGGATCAATCATATCTATTGATAGAGGATCAAGTAATTCATTAAAAAACACAAATTTTAATGATATATTTATATTTCTAATTATAATAATTAAATTACAATTATTCTATATAGAAACATAGAGTTGCAAATTGAGAAATGAAACTCTAGAAGCATCCAATAATATTCTATTATGTTATATTAAAAAGTTACATCACTTCTCATTAAAAAAATATTTATTCTTATAACTTTTCATTTGCATTTGGTGATTTTAAGATGAGGCAGTATTGTGAACGTGTACAATTCTGATACTTATTTATCCATTGACTCTTCTTATTCATTCAAGACACTTTCAACCACACAATAGCAAATATCTAACCTCTATCTCTCTCTTCCCAAACACAATACTCTCTCTTCTATCCTTATGGGTCCGATGGTTCTGAGCCAGTTGGCAACCGGTCTAAGCGTTCTAGCCGGAGCGGTTCTTGTCAAATCATTTATAGACAACAAGCCCATGGCCGGTTCATTCATTCGTTGTCCCACTTGTAACGGAACCGGTCGAGTCACTTGTTTCTGTTCTCGTTGGTCCGACCGTGACTTAGGTTGTAGAACTTGTTCCGGTTCTGGTCGCATGGCTTGCACCAGTTGTGGTGGAACTGGAACTGGTCGTCCTTTACCCGCTAGAATTATTGTACGCTCACCTAACCGCCCCTCATAGTTCATCACGGTTTGCACCACTTTCCTTTCATTTTCGTTTTTTTATAAGTAATGTTATATCCTTTTACTAAATTTTCATACCCACAAAAAAAATGATATATGTTATAAAGTGATACTTTATTTATTAGTATTTTGTTTATAAGTAACATATGTTACTTTCTTGTAGGTAGATGATTAGTATGAGGATATATCATTTTCATTTTTTTTATATTTTGTCAATGGAATGGAACATATTTTGTTACATGTTATGATGTTAACGTTTTGGAAATAGTACTCAAAACTGTTTCATCACTGTAATTATAGTTGCAGTAATTGTCTGAAGCGTTAATATTTTCAAAAACTTCAACCATTATCTAAAATCTTGTTATGTAATTACTAAGTTCTGGCGATGCTTGTAATTTTATAGAGAGGAAGAGGCAAGTTGTAATCACATTACTGTAATTGAGATTATAGTGAAATCACAGTGTCTTACTCTTAATTGTGTTCTCCTTTAGCCATAATTGTTTTGAATAATTTTTTATAAATTGATTCTGGTTCGTCCCAATAATGAAGGATAATCCTAGAAAAATATATAATTACTATGTTAATTGATGTTCTTAATTCATGTGAAACGACTAAAAGATCTTGATAGTATCTTAATAGGCATAGCTAAACTGAACTGTGTTTATTAATGTTGAAACTTTATTTTTTGTTTTGACAAACTTCAATATAATTCTTTAGATGTTTGGATTATGGGGTGTTGTAATATGATGTCGTACAAGTTTTCTAAAATCTGCTCCTTTCTCATGTTATTAATATGTTCAATAATAGCAAATTGTGTTGATACTATGAAAGTTACTTACCTTATATCAATAATAGCATATGGTGTTTCTTGCTCTAAAAATGAATTGAAGAAAGTTTATAATTCTTAATGTGATGTACTACAAGTACTATATTCATTATTGATGTTATTACACTATTGAATTGACATGAATAATGTGAATCACAGCATTGTGGTTGAAGTGTGGTGTCCCAGTCTCACTCATGAAACTGCAAAAGAAGGTTCCTAAAAGAAATTGTGTTGAACATAAAGGCAATACATTAAGCTTGACTAGTTGAGTTTCTTAGAGGAAATGCCTTTTGAGTTTGAAACATTAAGCTTGACTAGTTGAGTTTCTTAGAGGAAATGCCTTTTGAGTTTGAAACATTAAGCTTGACTAAATCAAACTGCACGGGGATCACATATCATAATTCATGTCTCACTATGTGTATCAAGTCAATCAAAAGATTCTATTCAATTAAAAAGAAAAATAATAAAATCAGAAATTAATATTTTAATATTATTTTGTAAATTTTGATTGGCTAAAGACATAATGACAGAAAAATTCTGACAGATGCATTTAATTAAGCTTTGACTAAATCAAACTATAAGCTAGTATTCCATATACTTTCATGTTTTTCATTGGGTTGGCGTCTATGTTTTTTCTTCTTCTGTTATTTATAATGTTTGGATAGATAGTACATAGGGTAGAAAATAATGGAAAGGAATAAAATGTATATTCTTTAAAACTTCTTAGTAATAAGAGCTAATGGAATTGAATCACTCTCAAGCCAAAAAATAATCTTCCCAATTTGGGGGAGTCATTATATATTTATATTCAGAACTTCCAAACATATTATACTAGGGTCTGAAATAAAAATGAGAGTGATAGGCTGATAGTTATTAGCCCATTATTACAAAAGGAAGAGAAAAATTGTTATAATTTATTTAGACAATTGAATAATTATAGCCAAATAAATTTTTGATGTACATGTTAGCTATTTTCAAAGTATGTAATGACGACAATTTATAGAAGACTGGATTAAAATGTTTATAACTTTATATTGTAAAAGATAGAGGAAAAGATTGTGAGTTAATTCTAACATTTTAATGTGGATAAATATTATATATGAATGTTTATGGTTATAGTGTATAGATATTGTACTATTAGTAGAATATTAGGTTATATTGGAACAATGGTTGGCATCATGTTGTTGTAGAGTAAGAGTCAATGGAGGCTATCTTTCTAGCTAATTGCATTGGCCCCCATCTCTACCCATTTGTTTAACAAATCAATGGAATGTTTCTCTTCAACATGTGCTTTTTCAATGACATTTTTGTGTAGAAATGTTTATTAGCTATAAGTTGGGATCTCATAAAAACCAAGATTTATGTTTCATAAGGGTTATTGGATATTTTGTGGAACTTTTAACCCAAAACCCATTTGCTAGCATGCTTCTTTAGAATAATTCCACAT